CAGCTACTTGGGAGGCTGAGGCAGGAGAATTGCCTGAACCCAGGAGGTGGAGGTTGCGGTGAGCTGAGTTTGTGCCATTGCACTCTAGCCTGGGCGACAAAGCAACATTCCATCTCAAAACAATAAATAAACAAACAACATCATGAGGCCTGGGGAAGCTCGAGTCCTAGGTTTTAGTCTCTAATGGAATATGTGGTAGAAACTTTCATAAAATATTTCATTCAAGGCAGTTCTATCTTTGGAGGAACTCTGCATTTTCATATGTGAATTTGCTTAAGGCTATTCCATTGGAGCTCCAGCTTAGCTTTGGGTCTCCCTTATTTGTAGATGGGACGTTTACTCACACCAAATATTCTTGATTTTGAAACTAATCCATTAGTCACAAGAATACATTGATACCCAGCGCAGGCAGGTAAAGTGAAAGATACACAAGCAGAAAGATCCCGTATGCGTCTGCGTTATGGTTCAAGAGCTGAGCTGGGCCTCCTCTTCTCCACTTCCTATGTTGAATTTCTAAGCCCACGGCCTCAGAATGTGACAGTATTTGGAGGCAAGGCCTTTAAAAATCGATAGTAAAATGAGGCCATATGGGTGGGCCCTCGTCCCATAGAACTCGTGTTCTTAGCAGAAGAGGCGATGAGGGCACAGACACAGAGGGACAACCATGTGAGGACACAGACACACACAGGGACAACCACGTGAGGACACAGGGTGAAGGTGGCCTCCATGAGCCCAGGAGAGAGTCCCCAGGAGAAGCCACACCTGCCGGCCCCTTGATCTCAGACTTCAGCCTCCAGAACCATGAGCAATCTACTGTTGTTGACACCCCCTCACCTGTGGTATTTGTTCCAGCAGCCTTAGCAAATGAACACACTTTTCCATTTCCAAAATACTCCTTAAGTCCTTAAAGCAACCCTCCGGCCTCACCTTGCCCAGGAAGGCCAAGGCGGAGGAAGGCCGGGTATCTGCCTGGCCTGAGAGCATGCCTCTGAGAATGACGCAGGCCTCACTGTCCTGTTTTTGACAAGGAAATCAGGGCTCAGAATGTGGAGTCACTCACTCAAAGTCACACAGCCTGCCGAGGTCCTTGGCTTCTGACCCTGTGTGCTCTTTTGGAAGCTCTGCCCTGAGGGTGGGAAGAGTGTGAAAGTACAGGAGTGCCCCCTTAACCACAGGGAACATATTCCAGCACCCCCAAACTACTAGACGCTCCAAACTGCAGACAGTGCCGGACCCCGTATGCACCGTGTTTGTTCCTAGACATATGTATCTATGATACAGTTTAATTTACGAATTAGGCACAGTAAGAGATTAACACTAATAAATAATAATAAAGTAGAAAATTATAACAATATACTATATAACATTCCTGAGAATGTGGCCTCCCTCTGTTCCTCTTTCTCAAAATATCTTATTGCATGCAGAATTTTGGGACCGCAGTTAACCACTGGTAACTGAAACCTTAGATAAGGGACCACTGCTGTAGACAAAACATCACAGCAGCAAAAAAAGAACAAAGCTCTGAGCGGCAGAACTGGAGGCCCGAGGCAGGGAGGTATGGCAGAGGCCAGGGAAGCCCGGCTGGAGGCTCGGTGGGGATCAGGGTCTCTGAAGGCCCTTCTCTGGGGTTATGATAGTGCTAATGAGAGCTAACATTTCTGAGCATTTGGCATAAGACAGGCAGGCTGGTAAACGCCTCCTGTGTGCTGCTTTCTCTAAACCTCACAGCAAGCCTGCGATGCAGGTGGCATCATTGTACCCATTGCACAGTTGAGGAAACTGAGGCTCAGAGAAATGAAGCAGAGTCTCCAAGGCCAAACCTCCCAGAAGAGCAAGTGCCTGATGTTGAAAGTTCTGACTCAGAGACCCTGCTGTTGCTCACTTCACAGTAATGCCGTGGTGTGTGCTGGCTCCGGAATGGACAGAGGGAAAGACACCAGCTTCTTCACAGGCAAGGAGAGGTCTGAGCTTCCCAGACCTGGGCTGGCCCTCTCATCAGAGCTCTAGGTGTCGGAACAGTGGTCGTATGCCCCAATGGCTCAGGCATGGTCCCCCAGCAATGTCCTCATGTGTGCAGACTTATGGTTGGGAGAAGGCATACTCCACACCATGAAATACCCTCCCTCCCACTAGGAAGGCAAAGTCCCAGCGCAGGAAATGCTGCTTTAGTCCATGCATGCGCTCTCTGCCTCCTCTCTCCATCTCTCTTGCCCCACACACTCTCACATTTCACTTTCTGGCTGGGAACTGGCTGGGCTCCTCATCCTGTATAGACATATGTATATGAACAAGAAGATGCCAGGACACGGGTTCGGCTCGCGGCACTACTCGGGCAAGTGCGCCGCCTCGTGGAGAAACTCTCCCTCGCCCTTCAAGACCCTCTCCAGCCTCACTCTCCCAGGAACACCAAGGAGAGCCAGGTGTTTGCTTTGCCTGAGAACGTACCTCTGAGAATGTGCTGGTCTTGTGGGTTTCTCTTCTGATTTCCGCAGGTTGTCACTTGTATGGCAGAGCTGGAAAACGCCATAGGCATCTGCTGGTCCTGCAGTTTCAGGACCTGAACGTGGCCCCCAGTGCTTGGAGCTGGCCCTGCTGGGATGGAACGCTTCCAGCCTCACACAGCCCTGCCCAGTGGTTCTCAATCCCCGGTGGATATCAGCACCAGCTGGGGCCGCTTAAAGAATGCTGAGACTCTGGATAAAGCATGCTCACCTGGAACCCCGGCACGGGCACTCTTTACTATGCCTCCCTGACCCGGTTCCACACAAGGTGATTCTAGTGAGTAGCGAGGGCTGAGAGCTGCCCTGGAAGAAATGCCTGTATTGGAATCACTCAGGGCGCTTATAAAAGAGGACGTTTCCAGATCCAGACTTCAACCCACTGAATCAGAATCTCTGTGGGAGCGGGAGAGGAAGACCTGAATTTTATTTTATTATTTATTTTTAGTTTTTGAGACTGAGTTTCGCTCTTGTTGCCCAGGCTGGAGTGCAGTGGTGCGATCTTGGCTCACTGCAACCTCCACCTCCCGGGTTCACGTGATTCTCGTGCCTCACCCTCCCGAGTAGCTGGGACTATAGGCACCTGCCACCACACCCAGCTAATTATTGTATTTTTAGTAGAGACAGTGTTTTACCATGTTGGCCAGCCTGGTCTCGAACTTCTGACCTCAGGTGTTCCACCCGCCTCTGCCTCCCAAAGTGCTGGGATTACAGGCACAAGCCACCACGCCCAACCTGCATTTTAAAACAAAAACCTGAGGTGACCGTTGGCGAAGCACTAGGTGACTCTTTCATCTTTAAGGGATGACAGTGGGGTCCAGGGAGGTGGGGAGACAGTCCCAAGCCTTGCAGCTTGAGGACAGCTCCCGAGTCATGGGAACCACTTCACAGGGGCTGTGGGGGGCTGAGAGGTGGTGCACCGGCCTATGGTCCCTGCTCATGAGAAGAAGGAAGGGCTCATTCCTCATCCTGTGATCTTAGCGCCCTCCTCAGCCCCACCCCACAGGAGCCCCAGCATGTGAGCTTGGCCCTCCCATTCACAAACCCCAGCAGCCCCCACTGGCAGGAGCCGTAACCCTGCTGTCCCACACTCCTGTTTACCTTCCACCAGCCACGTCCCCTGGGACCCAGTTCTTGGCCAGGCAGTTTCCTCCTTCCAGCAACTTGGTGTGACCAGGTCCTAGGGGAGGTCAGAGGCCCCACAATTTCTGGAGCCTCCACTGTGTGGGACAACAGAGTTCCCCCTCTAGGTTCCCCCACCTCCAGCATTCTGGCGCAGCTGTGGGACACCTGTTCCCCTGGGTTCCTCAGCGAGGCTCCAGGCCTGCCCCTGCCTGCCCCTGCCTGCCCTTGCAGACCGCCTTCCTAAACTGCTGTGTTCTCCTGCCCAGTGCTTGTCCACGGCCAGTGGGGCTGTGAGGGCCAAGAACTGGCTGAGAGAAGCCTGGTGGCATGGAGTCCGTGGATTTCCTCACCTGCAGAAATGGCTTCATGGTAACCATGGTGACGCTCCCACCCCCCCCCCCCCCCCCCCCCGCGCTGCTGGAGAATCCAGAGACTGCAGGTGAACAGCTATGTGGACTGCGTCCTTCCTGGCTGATGGCTGTCACCAGCACCCCTGCAGGGACTGTCCCTTCTCCGAGATTCTCCCACCAAGGCCCCACTCTCATCCTTTGCTGCCCGGGCCTGCAGCTCACCCCCACCTCCACCCCCGTTCTGCTGCCTGTGAGCTGTGTGTGAGCGCTTTGTGCCTCAGTTTCCACCTTGGGGTGGCAAGACTCCTGCCTCGGGGCGTTCTCACAGTCAGAGGAGTCAACACTGACAAGACGTTTGCCAAGGGTTCAAGGGGAAGGAAGGGGGTGCACAGGTGGGGCCAGGGGGCTTTTGACCAGTGGGCCCAGAACGGTGGGTACAAGTCTCTGCTTTCATCTACACCCATGGCATGTACAACACTGCAGCGAGAACCTGGATGAAGAGGTGGGCTTCAGTTAATGACACTGTATCAGTATTGGCTCATCAGTGGTGACAAATGCACCACCACTGGCAGATGTTAGTAACAGGGGAGATGGGTGGGATATGGAGACTGTCTACTTGCTTCCTACCTTTTTTTTTTTTCTGTAAACCTAAGCTGCTCAAATAAAAACTGGATCCATTAAAAACAAAACGAAAACATGCAAAGTGAAGAGCCTCCATGCAGTGGGAGCCGCGCTTCGATGCCCATCGTCACCCGATCCTCCTTCCTGCACCTGGCCTTGGGGGCTGGGTTCTCATCCTGGCCGCCCCCCCAAAGCGCCGGCCCCCAGCAACAGCTCCGGGCTTTGCCCCGCACAGCGCTCCCGGCGCGGGCCCGGGCCACGGATTTATGATGCCACAGCGCCCCCTGCTGGCCCCGCTCGAGCTCCCGGAGCCCAGGCCACGCGGGACCCCCGGCTGCGCCAGGCGTGCACCCCGTGCGCGTCCTGCACGCGATGTCCGGCTTGTCACGGTAACGACATGGAAATCTCGAACGCTCGTGACTTTATTATGGAAAAGCTCCGCAGTGCCAGAGCGCAGCCTAGGCTGGGGCTGCCCCTGCTGGCGTCGGGTGGCGGGGTGGGGACCCATTCCAGCTTCTGCAGCGGCACGGGGCGAGGTCCTCGCAGGGCGCAGCGGCCTGGACGTGGCCACCGGCGGTGACTCCTCGGTCAAGGCCCAGCACTGGGGCCTTATCAGTTGCTTACTAGTCCCGAAAACCTTGGGGGGCTAACTTAGTACTCGGGGTGCCCGTGCCAGGTCACTGACACAGCCCTCTTTACAAATGGGGCGGCACAGAGAGGCCGCGTAACTCACCCGAGGGCGCACAGCCGGGGAAGGAGTCTGTCCGAGCACCCCCCCTGCATAGCTGCCTCTGCCCTCTGGTTTCCCGGTGCCTTCACTGCCCGTCGGTGCTGGCACGGAACTGCGAGGTCGTCCGCGCAGCGGTGGGCACCCGTCGCCGGCGGGCTCGGACTGGCTAGGGCTGAAGCTCGTACTGCCGCTCGGTGGCCGTGTAGAAGTCCTCCAGCACTGAATGCAGGAACTCGAAGGTGGGCCGCTCCTCGGGCCGGCTGCGCCAGCACTGGGCGATGACGCCACGATACAACTCCGGCGGGCAGGTGTCGGGACGCGGCATGCGGTAGCCGCGCTCCAGGCTGCGGATGACCTCGGGGTTGCTCATCCCTGCGGCAGAGGCAGAGGGGACCGCGAGCGGGGATGAGGGGCAGGGGTCCCTAGTGGGTGGGGGGCCCTGAGCGGCCCGGGGGGCACAGTGGGCCCAGACGGGGGACAGCAAGTGCCCACAGGCCCAGCCTCTAAACAATCCTTTTTTATTGCTTGGGGAACGCCTAGGAAAGAGACTGCAGATTTTCTCCTGCGTGTCAGCAGGTCCTCTGCGGATGGGACCCTCCTTGTCTTGATTACTGTGACTGCCAGGGGCACAGCCAAGCCCATCACTCACAGGCAGCTGGCAGGTGCACACAGCAGCAGGTGACCCCGAGCCTGCCCAGCTGCCCGGGCCAAGCAGTCCAAGCCCTTCTGACAGGGGCTGGGGATTGGCGTCCACGATTCTGCCCACTCAGGATGGGGCTTTTGGAATCCACTATGGGTGTGATGCCAAGGTAGGCACAACCTGTCCTCAAATGAGAACAGACCACTGGGAGTAACTTTGAATTCAGGTGTACCTTTTGTCTTGATTCTAGTTTGTGGGGCTCATCACCTTTGGTGGAGGAAGGAGACACAGCCCTGTGGCCTGGAGCAATAGTGATGCAGCAGCCAGAGCTCCACCCCAGATGCCACACCTGGGTCTCCATCCCCACCCCGGGACTCACTCTGAAAAGAAGGGGGTAGCCACAGGCACGAGGACAGGACCTGCCATCAGAGCTGGCAGGGAAAGCAGGAAGCCCTCTAGAGCTGCGGAGCGAGCTGCCTACCTGGGTATGGCACCCGCCCGTAAGTGACGACTTCCATCAGGAGGACTCCAAATGACCACACGTCTGCTTTGATGGTGAAGATCCCGAAGTGGATGGCTTCTGGGGCAGTCCACTTGATAGGGAACTTGGCCCCTGCAGGAAAAGCCATGCACAGCTTTGGGAGGCCATGGCAGGTGGCCTCTACTTTTCACCCTACCCTCACCCCTACCCCTGCTCCTGCTGTCCTTCCCTCAGTCCCCCAGTGTGGGGCCTTGCAGGACGGAGCAGCCAGACACAGTGGGGGAGCCAGTGCCACACATCAGGATGCATGCCAGGTGAGCGCAGAGGCATCTGCAGCACAGAAGGACAACATGGACACCAGTACCAAGCAGTCACCCACTTTGGTTCTTTAAAAAGACAATGAGTGGCCTCAATGGGCAGCCACCACATTTCCACCTGGGATGGAAGGGGCCTTGTTTAATAAAGAAAACACAGCCTAGGAGAGCCATTCAAAGCTGGTGGAGCCTCCGTGAGTCCCTTCCTGCCAAATGGAAACGGCGACACTGGTACCTGGGAGGCCGCTGCGAGGAAGGACTCACATCTGGCCACGCTGTGAAGCCCGAGGTGACTGGGCCTGGCCAGCATTTGGAATAGGCCTCAGGGTCTGGCACTTCTTGGTCTCCCCAGCAAGCCTGAATTCCCGAGAGAGCAAGCCATATCCTGTCTGCTTGTCACTCCTACGCGAAGCGAATACAGCTTGCTTGCTTGATAAATGTGTGTGATCACTTCAGATTCTCTTGTGAAGGAGATTTCCACCTCAATTATATTCATGGAGTAAGACAGAGGGCTCTGTGGAGATTCTAATTCACAGAATAAGACAGGGTGCTCCGTGGAGCCCCTGATTTAGAAGGTTTGCTGCTCACGCATGAGAGCCGTTTCCCGCAGTGTGCTCTGGGAAAGCATACTTCTGTGGAAGGTTAATAGTTGCTACATAAAAATAGTATCTGGGACTGGGCACAGTGGCTCACGCCTGTATCCCAGCACTTTGGGAGGCTGAGGCAGGCGGATCACCTGAGGTCAAGAGCTCAAGACTAGCCTGGCCAACATGATGAAACCCCGTCTCTACTAAAAATACAAAAATTAGCCAGGTGTAGTGGCACTTGCCTGTAATCCCAACTACTTGGGAGACTGAGGCAGGAGAATTGCTTGAACACAGGAGGTGGAGGCTGTAGTGAGCCAAGATTGTGCCACTGCACTCCAGCCTGAGTGACAGAGACTCCATCTTAAAACAAAAAACAAAAAACAGTATTTGGAGCTCAAATTAGTTTGGAAGGCACTAGGTGAGGCAAACATAAACGGTTCCTTTGCTGGACTTCTCAGTGCCTTTAATATGTTGATATACACTGGGAATCTCCAAGGCACGGAGGGGGTGGACTACTGTTTCTCCAAACCTACCTTATCCTAAAACTGTTCCTCCATGGGAGGTCTTAGTGCTCTACTATGCTGCTGAACACGTTGGGGAAGTGAAAGAAATGCTGATGCAGAGTTGTGGAAACTGTCTAGCCTGTGGGTGTCTTCCCTCAGGGCTGTGCTGGGAGGAATTAAGGGGGCTTTGGGGGGCTGGGGAAGGTAAGGGCTCAGGTTTCCCTTGTGGTTGGGGGCTGTACTCACCCTCCTGGGCCATGTATTCACTGTCGATGATCCGAGCCAAGCCAAAATCAGCAATCTTGCAGCACAAGGTCTCAGACACCAGGATGTTAGCCGCTCGCAGGTCGCGGTGGATGGAATTCATGCGCTCGATGTACGCCATCCCTTCAGCAATCTGAGGGAACAGGCACACGGTGAAGGACATCACTGGGGCCTCCACACCAGGACCGAGCCCACCCTGTGGCCCCTACACAGCCCCTGTGGGCTGCTAGGGAAGGAGCTGCTTCTTGGGCAGAGTAGAAAGTTGGCTGTGCTGCTCCTCAGCTGAATAAACCCCTCTCCTAGAAGCCCAGAACGGCAGTGATGTGGGCATCAGAGACACTGGGGCTACCTGTGCTCCTTCCCCTCCTCATTTTCCCTCAACACAGCTGTGTCCAAGGTCTGCAGAGGTAGAAGGCAGAAGAACACAGACAGGAGAAAAGGAGAGGGAGGGAGAAAAGAAGAAAGGGAAGGAAGGAGACGGGGAACAGGAGACAGGGACAGGTGACTCTCCCCGGCTGGCTGGAAGCACAGCTCCTGGAGCTGGGAGCCCTTGGTTGGAGTCGCTGACCTCCAGAAAGCTGCTTAACCTCCCTGAGGGGCCACAATCCTGACCTGGAACGTGAGGGATGTGGTCTTCAGGGTGCGGGGTTGAGGCAAGCATTAGACGAGGTGACTTGTGACTGAGGACCTCGCCCAACACCTGCCTCATGGGGGCACCCAGGGAGCACTGGCAGATCCGGGTGGACAGAAACCCTGAGGAAAACAAGCCTCGTCTCTCCTCCCCAGCTCACCAGCCTGGGCCACGGATAGCAGCTTGTGCTGCTTGGTGCCTTGTAGCTGAGGAAACTAAGGCTCTGTTCACTCAACCAATGGATGAAGAAACTAAGGCAGACAGAAAACAGAGAGCACATTTACCTCATCAGACTTGCGACTGCAAGAAGCCGGCACTAGAACTGATCCCACTTCTCTTTATGCTTGCATTTCATTGGTTTATCCATGAATCCATCCATCTATCCATGCATTCAACTCATCCTTCCATCCTTCCATCCATCCATCCATCCATCCATCCATCCATTCATCTATCCATCTATCCATCCATCCATTCATCTATCTATACATGATCCATCCATCCATCCATTCATGCATCCATGTATCTACCCATCCTTCCACCCATCCCTCCCTCCATCCATCCATCCATCCATCCATTCATTCATCTATCCATGTATCCATCCATGTATCCATTCATCCATACATCTATTCATGCATCCACCCATGCATCCATCAATTCATCCATCCATCCATCCATCCATCCATCCATTCATCTATCCATGTATCCGTCCATGTATCCATTCATCCATGCATGCATCCATGCATCTATCCATGCCTCCATCTATGCATCCATCAATCCATCCATCCATCCCTCTATCCATCCATGCATCCATCCGTCCATCCATCCATGCATCCAACCATCCATCCATTCATCCACCTACCCATCTATCCAGCCGTCCATCTATCCATTCATCCATCCATCCATGCATCCATCTCATCCATCGATTCATCCATCCATCCATCCATCCATCCATCCACCCACCCATCTATCTAACCGTCCATCTATCCATTCATCTATTCATCTATCCATCCATCCATCCATCCATGCATCCATCCATCTATGCATGCATCCATGGATCCATGCATCCATCCATCCATGCATCCATCCATTCATGCATTCATGCATCCATCCATCCATCCAGCCATCCATCATCCCCTTGCTATACCATTCAATCAGTGCACATTTATTAGTATGGGACTGTGGGGAATATAAAACTGAATACTAACTATATCAGGGCAGCATCTAACAGCACTCATTCTGATAACTAATATTTATTGAGCAGTACCAGAAATATGTATTTTAAAAATGTTGAGTATGGCTCAGCTCAGCTTTCACGGGCAAAGGAGACAGAGGGGTGGCTAGGCATGGGGCACAGGGACCAGGGCCATCTGGCTGCAAAGTGGGGCCTGTGGGATTGTGGTTGCAGGGGTCTTGTGGGGTTGGCCAGTTCGGGCCTTAAGACTTTGCATTTCATCCTATAGAGTAAGAAAAGAAGAGCCCAGAAGGGCAGGCCATGTGTCTGCTCGTGTGCGAGTTTGCATGTTTGTGTGTGAGTTTGTATGTATGTGAGTCTGTTTGTGTGTTACTGTGTGAGTTTGTGTGTGTGAGTCTCTGTGTGAGGCTGTGTGTGAGGCTGTGTGTGTGTGTGTGTGTGTGTGTGTGTGTGTGTGTGTGTGCCTGGAGAGCCTCTGGCATGGTCAGCATGTGGTTAGAGGCTTCCTATCTGGAAGGTTCTGATTTTCTCACTCCTCACCCCCAGCTCTGTGACCACATCCAGGTATTAAACTCAGATGGGATTTTCATATCCTTTGCCTCTGGTTCACCCAAGATTTCCCAAGGGAGTGTTGTGGGGACTGAATAAGAGCCAGTGGAGGGTGAGGGAAGGAAGGGGAAAGGAAAAAGAATCAGTGGGCAGGCTTATCGCTGGCCTGGGGTTTGAAGCCCATCACCAGCACTCATTTTCCAAAACCATCTCGCCAGCCTGCCCAGACGGCTCTCTGCCCACCTCAGTGGAAAAAGGCGTTGTGGCATCAGTTCCTGCAGCGGGGCTCCTGGGTGAGTCTGGGTGATGGGGGAGGGCTGATGTGGGTGGTAGGTGGGAGGGTTTCCTCTTGGTGGCTGGCGGGTGTGTGTGCACCCAGGTGTGTGCCTCACAGGCTGACCACAGACAGAAACGTTTCTGCTGAGAGTTCCAGTTTTAACAGGGCCACCAGATGTGCTTCCTGCCAGCTAGAGCTCTCGCCTCCACACCCTCGCCTCCACTCTGCTCTTCACCTCATGGAGTCTGGAAGGTTCTGCATGTGAATGTGAGGGCCAGTCCAGGGTAGCCAAGGAGGCCCAGCACTCGTAATTCCCTGGTGGCAGAAGGGGGGGTGGTCCTCCAGGGCTCAGAGAGGTCATGTCCCTGGCACTTGTGTGTGGCTCAGGCCTGCCCATCAGCCTGGGGTAGATGCCAGGGCTAGGCAAGGGCTGAGGGCCCCTGGGGTGGGAGGCATGTTTTCAGTGACCTCCTACTGGAGACGTCTGTGGGTACCATCTAAGGAAGGGGTGAGGTCACCACAGAACACCCTCGCTGCGGGTCCAGTGGAACTCTCACTGACCCTGTGTGTTCCCACGATGCCCATTCACCCTTGCTTCCCTCGGAACAGAACAGCCTCGTTCCATCACAGCTGCCTGGGACGAAGGCTCCATGGCCCAGGCTCCCTCGATGCTGCGTGGGGCAGGAGGCACAGCGGCCCGGGCATGCAGGTGCAAGTGCAGTGGGTGACCTTGGGGACGTGTGCCTAGAGGAAGGTGGCCTTCCGTGCACCTGACTTCCCCTGCTGGCTGAGGAGAGGATGGGGTGCTAGGACGTAAGCGGCTGTTGTCGGCAGAAAGTGGCAACCTGAGATCCCAGCAGGTGGGAGAACGTGGAGGGACTGCCCACGTCCTGATGTTTACACATCTAAGCTCTTATGACTTCAGGCTTTCTCTTCCTCACAGTCCAGCCTAACTCTAACTGCTACAACCTCTGAATCATTGACGTTGTTAAGCCACAGGGCCGGGAGGAGGAGAGGGCCTCGGGAAGTCAGAGGGCACACGCCGCCCCTCCTCTGCACTTGGTCCTTCACCAACCTGGGCCGACATGTCGATCAGCCTTGGAAGTGACAATCTGTTCCCTTCATCCGTCTTCAAGAAATCCAGCAGGCATCCTAAGAAAAGAGAAGCTGCAAGTAGCCTTCTGCAAAGTGCCCACCCCTGGCGGTGCTGGCCTCTCCCGGCATGAGCATTTCCCACAGGGGTGTGAAGTGGGAGTTTGCACCCTCAGATCTCTTGGTGCAGCAGGAACGACCTACCTGCTGCTGTCAAGTGCCTTCCCCTTCACAAAATGCCAGGCTCAGCACCCCAGGAGGTAGCACATATACCAGCAGCTGCCCAGCAGTTAGGTTTCAGCCAGGTGCAGGACCTGTCTGAGGTCACCCGGACGGGAGCTGGGAGGAGAGCCCCAGTTCTGACTCTACGGTTGATGCCCCTTCTTGTCTTTTCCCCCATGTCAGCCTCGCTCCCTTGATCCCTGTTGGCAGACACGCTCTGCCTCTGAGGACCAGGCATCAGCAAGAAAGCACCAGAGGGAGAGAACTACCCCCAGGTTTGGCGCAGGGGACAAATGCAGCTCCCCTGGAATCCGAGCACTGGGAGGGATGAGTGCTTGCCCTAGGGGCAGGCTGGAGGCGCCTCCAGCACAGTCTCAGACTGGGGCCCCCTTGGGGACAGTTGTTAGGGAGCTGTATTAGATGGGCAGGTTAGGATCATACAGGGGCAGTGTGTGGTCAGGGTCACAGGAGGAGTGAGAAGGTCAAAGGCTCAGCCCGATCCCAGGCCTCCTGCCCCGTGAGAATTTGGCCATGCTGGGGACCTCAGAGGCCATTGAGCCCAACCTCTCTGGCCATCCTTGTAAAATATTCACACAGTTGTAAAAGGCTCCCCGACCAGGAAGCAGTAGACCTGGGTGTAGCATGGTCCCTGCACAGCTGGCCTGGGGCTCCTTTGACTTTGCAACGCTCTGTTCCTCCCAGCAGGCACCAAAGAGTGCTGGGCACAGAGGATGCACTCCAGAGATGCTGGCTGAGCTGCTCCTGGGCAGAGGACATGGCTCCGTCAGAACCACTTTGCCCTCCCGTTTCTCACCCTCCCTCCGTCCCTCCGGGCCCCCATGCCACGCCGTGCCCTAGGTCTGCAGGATGCTGGCTAACAGCTCTCTGTGGAGACCCCCTGGCCTGGGGAACCCGCTGTCGCAAACCCCTCCTCCTGCTAAGATCACCCTCCTGCCTCGCTCTGAGGACGCAGCTCTGCGGGCCCCACCTCTGGCCATGTACTCAGTGACAATGTAGATGGGCTCCTTGGTGACCACAGCGTAGAGCCGGACCAGCCGCTCGTGCTGCAGGGTCTTCATCACGTTGGCCTCGCCCAGGAAGGCTTCTGGACTCATGGCTCCCTCCTTCAGTGTCTTGATGGCCACCTTCATGTTGTTTTTGTAGTAACCTGCACCCGGGGGGAGAGAAGAAACTGCTCAGAAGACAGAGACCTTGCTTGGAGGTGATCGCTTAACCAAAATCGGGGTAAGTGCCCAGGAGCCAGCCCATTCCAGGTGCCAGAGCTGGAACGTGCAGCTCCGGAGGCCGTGGTTGCGTGGGGCCCACCTTGTGTCCCAGGCCCCTACCGTACGGGGCCTCAGGCAATGGAGCAATGTACCCTGCTTGGGGTCCATTTCGCCTCTCTGCCCCACACCCAAGGTCTGTGTTCTTCTGTCCTGCCCGTAACCTGCCCCTTTCCCAGCCCTCCCCTATGTAATGAGTCTCTTCTATCACACAACGGCTCCTTGATGAAAATAGCACACAGCGGGGGGAAACCTGGGCAGGAGGAAGGGGAGTGGGGGTCTCCTTCCTTCTGAAGCCCCATGGCGGACCTGTCTCAGTCCTTAAACTACCTGTATCTCCACGCTCTCCCTGCACTCCAGGAAGTCCCTGTGCACCCTGAAGGGCCAAAGACAACTCTACTCGCCTTTCTAGAGGATCTGGGACTTGCCAGGGACCTGGGTGCAGCTCTTGCCAAAGGCACCTTGGGTATCGGCCCCAGGCAATGGAGGACTCGTGGACCAGTCCAGGGATAAAACGGAACACGAGTTTCATATCCTGGTAGGCAGGGGATGGGGCAGGTGTCAGCAGCAATGGAAACGTGAGGACCCCGGGCCTGGAGGTTCCGTGACTTGGCCGAAGTCCCACAGCTGCCCCAGCGTGCACTCAGACCCTGGAACCTCATGGCCCAGCACCTTGAACCTCGTGTTTCCATCTGGGTAATGGAAAGCTAAGGGGAGTTAGCGCCATTGCAGCTCAATGAAAAAGCCAGGTGCAGGCAGAGAACGAGGGAGGGAGTGACCTGGGGCTGGGAGAGCTGGGTTCTCTTCCTGCTTTGCCACCACAGTAAGTGACCCAGCTGTTACAACACAGCTCCGAACCTCCTCCAGCTCCTTTGTAAAATGGGTGTCCTTGCCTCTGTCCTCACTCCCTCCCAAGTCTTCCAGGGGAGGGATGACACTCTATAAAAATACTGAAGCTTCAGCCTTCCACAGTCACTTCTGGACTCAGGATGCATTGTGCGTGGAACGCAGGGGAGAAGGACTCCCGCACGTGCTCACACTTACCCATCCAGACGTCGCCAAATTGTCCAGACCCGAGCTTCCTGACCAGCTTGAGAGACTGCCTGGGGATTTCCCATTCATCCTGGGCCCAGGGGCTCTGCGGGGCCAGGCCCACACAGGGCAGGGTCAGCCTCTGGCAGACACCATCCGCCTTCTCTGCATTAGGAAAGAGAAGATAGGGCTGGGGGTCACCAGAGCAGCCAGGCTTTCTCTTGGGAGCCGTGTCGCTCCTAGCTGGGCCCCTCACTCCCCCAGCCACCCCAACCCCCCTGCATGGGCGTGTGCACACACCTGCTCACACGCACACACACTTAGCTCTCTCTCTTTGCACAAAGCAGGGCATGCTATCTGTAAAACTGACCTGCTCACTCTAAGACAGAAAATACTTGCTGCTTTCTAAGGGGTTCCCTGCTGAGCCAGGAGAGGGTGTTAGGGCCACCAATTCATAGTGCTGAGACCTGCTACCTCCTTAGGTCTAGCTTTGGGATGATCTTCCCTTCCCCCAAGGTGGCACCACTGACCCACACAATTGGGGATCTTAGCGAGAGACACAGGGGCTCTTGGCACAAGTCCCCACGCGCACTGCCCACCCCGTCTTACTAGAATAGTGCTGCACCAGGGCCTGCAGCGAGGGGAAGGTAATCCGGGGGGAGATGTAGTAGCCCCCCTCATCCAGGGAGCGGATCTTATAGTGCTTGATCAGCTCCCCCTGGGCGGTGACATCCTTCACAGACAGGCAGAAGGCACCTGCAGGGTTCATGGAGTAAGGCATGAAACAGAGGACTGGGATTTGGGCCTCATCTTAAAGCTTGCCAAAAGTTCCCCAGTGCTGTCCTCCACTGTCACCACTCCCACCACAAGTTCCCTCGCCCTGCATCTCAAACTCCACGCTGTCGGAAGCCTTTCCTGTAAGCTCCGCCTGACTCTGACCTTGACATCCCCCCGGTGTCCCCCAGGGAATCAGCCAGGGGATCACAGAGCTCTGTGGCAGGCAGGACATTTTCTCAGTAATCATGTGGGTCCCCACTTGGGCACCTGGTCACTCGGGGACCCTTTGCCAGGGACTATTGAGAAATCTAGTCTTGATGGAGGGACTAGGAGCTTTATTTTCTGGCTAAGGAGGATGTCTCTTACTCCTACAGGCAGACAGCCAATCACAGCTGCAAGTACCCATGTCCATGGTGGAGAGCGTAATGAGCTATTCCCAGGGGCTCTGTTCAAATTCATTTGCTGCCTGTTACATGAACCTATATTTTGTCTTCTGGCTAAATGTTTTCCTGCAGGCAAGTGGCAGCAGATGTTAAGGGTTAAGGACAGTTTAAGAGGTAAGAGTTTCCCGGTGAGAAGCCTTTTTCCATGAGCTTGATGTTTTTATAAAATGCGTCTGTCCAGCTACCTGGGTACCATGACCCCACCCTCCCCTCACCCATTATTTGGGAGATGGGGTTGCTGGGGCCCGGCAGAGTTCTCAGCAGGCCATTGGGACCTACTGGGAGCAGTACCACGCCTCTCCGCCAGGGGTCAGGCATGTAGCCTCGTTTTTGGTGTGGACGTTGGTTTTCCGCGGTCCCGTTTGACTTAAGGCTCTTTCCTTTCCTGTCCATTCCTCCACCTCAACCCCCTCCTCCCCTCCAGTTTCCCTCACCTACCTACAAAAGGACGCCCAGAGGCGTGCGCCAACCCAGCCCATGCCCCCAACCCGAGCCTCAGCCAGGATGCTGCAGGCTCTCTTCCCACCCTTGCCCAGCTGCAGCTGTGCCCCCAGTCTGTAAGGAACCCAAGCCTGGCCTTAGGGAGTTCATTAATCAAGGGCTTTCTCCCTATTTTGTAGGCTGCATCTGTGTCAGATGTCTCAGGTGATGAGCCCAGGAGCCTGCTCTCCAGGCGGTGATGTTGGCCAAGCTCACTGACCTAAAGGCCACTCTCACTAACCTGGGCTGCACTGAGGCCCTGTCCCTGATGGCTTCTGACAATTCTGTCTCCTTCTTAAAGAGGACCTCAGATCCTATCAGCTTCAGGTTCACAAAACCTGGACCCCCTGCCTCTGTAGTATGTCTGGACTGCCCTGGGCAAGCAGGGGCTGGCTCTGAGATGATGATGTCTCAGCACTGAAGGACTGCCTGATGCTGAGCTGGGAAGCCAGTCTGTCCTCACACAGACACCAATAAACTGAGGCTTGACAGGCTCAGGGACACCGTGGAGGCCACAAGGGGTAGGACTCTTTCCCCTGCTTCCATCCCTGTCTTGAATCACTGCTGTTGCTCCCAGATACAGACAGGGCTTGCTTTGTAGTTGTGTATGTGTGCATATGTGTGTGTGAGGTGTGTACATATCCTGCCCCTTTCCCACCCCTATGTAATGAGTTTCTTCTGTCATACGATAGCTCCTTGATGAAAATAGGTACACAGCTGAGGGTAACCTGGGCAGAAGGAAGGGGCGTGGCTGCATATGTGCACATGCGTGCATGTGTATGTGTGCAAGTGCATGTGTTCATGTGTGTGGGCATATGTGTATGTGTGCAAGTGCATGTGTTCATGTGTGTGCATATGTGCATGTGTGTGCATGTGTGTGCGCTTGTATGTGTGTGGATGAGTGTGCATGTATGCATATGTGCATGTGTATGTGCATGTGTATGCATAGTGTGCACATATGCCTATGTATGCAGGTGCGTGTGCACATATGTGTGTGCATGTGTGTGCATGTGTATGTGTATGCATGGTGTGCACACATGCCTGTATACACACATGCGTGTATGTGTGTACACGTGTATGTGTGTGCATGTGTGCATGTGTGTGCATGTGTGTGTATGCACGGTGTGCACACACGCCTGTGTATGCACATGTGTATATGAGTGTGTACATGTATACATATGTGCATGTGTGTGCATGTGTATGTGCATGTGCTGAGGTGATGATGGTTGAACAATCCTGGAGCCCTGGTCCCATCTGGCCAGTTCCCAGCTTGGACTGGCTTCCTGGGGTAGACATGGACAGGAAAATATGTGAGACTCATAGAGAACCCCCTCTTCCTCCACACCAGATGGGGCGGGTGGCGGGGCTTTCACATCAGAGGGCACCTTAGCAATAGGCAATGGTTGAAATATCATTTCTAGGGTGACATGACATGATGTTTGGGATTTGCTTTGAAAGAACAGGGGTGGAGTGGGGGATACAGATGAGACACGACTGGCTCAGTTGATAACTGTTGGAGCTCGGTGTTGGGTACCAGGGTTCCACTGAACTATTTCCTCTACTTCTGTGTATGTTTGAAAGGCTCTGCACCAACAATCAAACGTTTATATCATCTCCAGTGACTCCCAAATTGTTTCTTGGACAGAGGTGCTCTGCCACAAAAACGGAATAGTGACAATATCCAATATGCATCTAAATATAAAATTTATATATCTATGTGTATGTATACATATGTATATGTATATATAAAATGTTATACAGGCATTGGTGCATTCCAAGAAATCCTGCACAGAGCACCCCAGTTTTCCAATGTACCCTCCTGCTCCCCAGCCTGGTCCTGGCCGTTAGTGGGCCTCACGATCTCCCCAGAGAGCCACAGGGTGCTATGACAGCTTTCCATACTCTGGTTTCCACTCTCTGGCTGCTCTCCTTGAGCCACAGATGAAATCAAGGGACAGCCCAAGGGTGCTCCCACCAGGCAACACTGCCATCCATTCTCATCGCCCCAACCACAGGGAACCAAACTCATATTCCAGTCACTCTCTCTTCCTTCTCTCCTCTGATGTCACTGTCACCATCTCCTCTCCTGTTAAAATTGGCCACGAGGCTGTAGCCGGTCCCTGTGGACAGCTTCCTGATGAGCAAAGCATTCTTCATGTTGTGTGGGAAGTCCCTGGATCACCCTAGCTTGCCACATTGTAGAGCCTGGGAAGCCTCTCAGCCTCTTAGATGATGTGGCCACTGGTGCTCGGGCTCTGATGCTTATGGCTGGCCTCTGGCAAGTCATTTCCTGTTTCAGGGGCTCACTTTGCCTGTCTGTCAAATGGATTAGTATCTTACAGATGAAAAGCTAGTGGCCAGTGAACACCAGGGACCATAATACAGTTCAATGCAACACATGCATTAACGGCCCACACTGGAAACAACCCAATACCCACAGCGTAAGAATGGCTAACTTGGCTCTGGACGGGTCACACCCGAGATTCTGTAGCAACGAACATGAACAGGCTTACCATCCCAGCCACGTGCATGAATCTGTTACAGGCTGAATCATGTGTGCTCCCAATTCCTATGTGAAAGTCCTACCCCTCAGTCCTGAGAATGTGGCCATATGTGGAGACAGGGCTTTAAAGGGGTGATTAAGGTAAAATGAGTTCGTATGGGTGGGCCCTAATCCAGTGTGACAGGTGACCTCATAAGAAGAGATTAGGACACAGACACACTCGGAGTGACGGTCACATGAGGACATGGAGAAGTCGGCCGTCTGCAAGCCGAGGAGAGAGGCCTTGGGAGGGACCAGTGCTGCCGACACCTCGGTCTTGGACTTCAAGCCTCCAGAGCTGTGACATAACAAACTTCTGTCGCGGAAGCCACCCAGTCTGCGCCACTTTGTTACAGCAGCCCAGGAAACTAACATAGAATCTCACAAACACTGCTGAGTGACAGGAGCAAGTCACACAGAAACAAACACAGTGATTCCATCTGCATAAAGCTAAGAAACAGACAAGACCTGGTGGCAAAACCACAGAAAAGTGAGGAAGGGTTTCCACCCGAGTCAGGACAGCGGGGAGCTCCTGGGAGTGGGGGTTGAATCCAGAGGAGCCCAAGTCAGGAAGTGAGGGGGGCTCCTGGTGGTCTGGGAGGCTCTATCTCTTGGCCGTGGTTACACAGGGATTTGTGTATTATTACCCTATATAATTTAGAATGACGCACTCATACTTCATGCAAGCTTTGTATATGTTTTCTGTTTTACGCCAAAAAACATTAGGAAAGAAAGAAAGCAAATGACAGAGAAAGCAAGAAAACCCCTGAGGGTAGTGCAAAGTCTTGCGTAGTCATCAGTGGATTTGAACTCATCAGTGTCTAGACTGGCCTGGGCTTCCCACAATCACTCCCCCTTCCCTTACATCAGGCACAGGCCACGTCCTAACCTAGGCTGCCTGCAGCCTCTGGCTGAGATAATCTCCAAGGATTCTTTGATCTCCCCCAGTCCTTGATTCCAAAGTAGCTGGTGGCTGAGGGCTCAGGGATCCCCCTGTCCCGGCCCCCACTGGCCTTGGTGTTCCTGCTGACCAGGCGACATGGCCAGTCTGGCATGGGGCCACCCACGTCCACCTGGCTTCCCATGCCCGGGTGCTTTCCAGCCTGGACAGGGAGGACTGCTTTTGTGGACAGCCTCCACGTCAACGCCTGGGCAGGGCCTGAATTGGGAGGGACACAGGCCTGGAAGCTGCTGGTTCTCCTGGCAGTCACCCCTTCCCCTCTCACTCCAGGGCCAGGCCTCTGGAGAGGGCCTCTTGGGATGCGCAGGGCAGGGAGGGTGGGCAAGGCCACCATGCCTACCTTTGTTGGTTTCACTCTCTCTGATGAGAAAGGAGCCGGCCTTGTTGACTGGAGCCAGAAGCTGCCTTTCCGCCTCCTTGCGGCTCAGTGATCTAAAGAACCACCTAGAAAACAGCAGGAACTGGCGAACCTCAGAGCGACCCTGCTCCTCAGAGTATCCCCACTAAGCCTCCCTCCTGAGCTGCCCACCCTCAAGAAATAAAGTCTAGCATTTCTGCTCCCAAGTCGGCCCTGAGCTGCTGCTCCCCACACTGGGATGGAGTGAGCGCCCTCTGTCCCCCTGCCCTTCCCGTCCTTCCTGTCAGCCCTGGACTCACTGTTTCCTGCAACGAAACAGGGACACTATTTGGGTGACTTTTGATAATTTTGCTTTGGAAAAATGCACCTGCTCACTCTCTCCAAAGCACAGCTGCGTATCACAGGCACACACCTGCCTCCTTGCCGCCCAAGCTCTGAAAGAGGCAAACTGCCGAGACTCGCTGAGCAGGGACCCCAGCATGTCCCCTTCAGTATGGGGTTATTACATGTGGGAGAGCCCCATGGTTCCCCACACCATTCTGGGGAAAGATGCAGGGCCCACAGTGCCCAGAGAAGATTCATCGTTGCTGGGCCCCAGTCCTCAGGCAGAGCTGGGCCCTGTGAACGGATTTGTGGGGGCCCTGGCTGGCCGAGTCTGACATTCTCAGTGCCATAGGGACATGGGGGAGGAGGGGCTGCAGAATTAGAAAGTTGGGATCCTGCTCTCCTGTTAGTCGGTTCTGAACAAGCCACCCTCCTGGGAGCCTCCGAGGCTAAGCCCCAAGTCCTGCTCATGGAGGATACAGGGGAGGGTTTGTGGTCACAGTGCCTCCCTGTTAGCCTGCGAGGCCATCAGACATGGGGGACGGTTCCATCTATGGAAGCCAGGAGAAGAACCACTCTTGTTTAGCTGGGAAGAGCAGCTTGCTCAGTGTCACACAGTGGCCTGCTCAGTGTCTCAGTGTCACACAGCGGCCCGCTCAGTATCACACATCGGCCTGCTCAGTGTCTCAGTGTCACACAGCGGTCTGCTCAGCGTCACACAGCGGCCTGCTCAGTGTCACACAGCGGCCTGCTCAGAGTCACACAGCGGTCTGCTCAGCGTCACACAGCGGCCTGCCCAGCGTCACAAAGCGGCCTGCCCAGTGTCACACAGCGGTCTGCTCAGTGTCACACAGCGGCCTGCTCAGTGTCACACAGCGGCCTTCTCAGTGTCACACAGCGGCCTGCTCAGAGTCACACAGCGGCCTGCTCAGTGTCACACAGCGGACTGCTCAGCGTCACACAGTGGCCTGCTCAGTGTCACACAGTGGTCTGCTCAGTGTCTCAGTGTCACACAGTGGCCTGCTCAGTGTCACACAGCGGCCTGCTCAGTGTCACACAGCGGCCTGCTCAGTGTCACACAGCGGCCTGCTCAGAGTCACACAGCGGCCTGCTCAGCGTCACACAGCGGCCTGCTCAGCGTCACACAGCGGTCTGCTCAGCGTCACACAGTGGCCTGCTCAGCGTCACACAGTGGCCTGCTCAGTGTCACACAGTGGTCTGCTCAGTGTCTCAGTGTCACACAGCGGCCTGCTCAGAGTCACACAGTGGTCTGCTCAGTGTCTCAGTGTCACACNGCGGCCTGCTCAGAGTCACACAGTGGTCTGCTCAGTGTCTCAGTGTCACACAGCGGCCTGCTCAGTGTTTCAGTGTCACACAGCGGCCTGCTCAGAGTCACACAGCGGTCTGCTCAGCGTCACACAGTGGCCTGCTCAGTGTCACACAGCGGCCTGCTCAGTGTTTCAGTGTCACACAGCGGCCTGCTCAGTGTCTCAGTGTCACACAGCGGCCTGCCCAGTGTCACACAGTGGCCTGCTCAGTGTCACACAGCGGCCTGCTCAGTGTTTCAGTGTCACACAGCGGCCTGCCCAGTGTCACACAGCGGCCTGCTCAGTGTTTCAGTGTCACACAGCGGCCTGCTCAGTGTCACACAGCAGTCTGCTCAGTGTCTCAGTGTCACACAGCGGCCTCCTCAGTGTCACACAGTGGTCTGCTCAGTGTCACACAGCAGCTTCCTCAGTGTCACACAGCAGTTTGCTCAGTGTCACACAGTGGTCTGAACGAGTCACCTGCAGCCAGCAGAGGGGTCTTTCCAGCAGAGTTAATTTCCGTTCCCTCTTTGCTGGCGCCTGCGGGCTCCCTGGTCAGTCCCATTCTGGCCCTGCCCTGCCTAGCAGCCCAGGGAGCAGGGACAGTGACTGTACCTTGGCTCCAGCGGGCTTCCCGGGCCACCTACCTCTCCACTTCCAGGCTCTCCACTCGGGCCACGAAGTTGCTGGGCACATAGCCTTCTCTTCCTGTGACGAGCGACTTGGCCAGCCACCAGGCTCCAGTTCTAGCGGAAGCAGGGGAAACAGAGCTGTGATCATGGCCCCTGTGGGCCCATCTCTGGGCAGCTCCCAGACCTCCTCAATGCCACCTCTCCCTGGAAGGCAGAGAATCCGCAGAGGTAGACAGTACGGCAGGCGGGAAGGGGCTGTGCCCGCTGCTCTGTGGTATGGTGGGTATCTGGGTAAGCTCTAGGGGGAAGAGCTTGTCTATACAGCCTGACCAGCCCAAGAGGACCCAGGGCTCGGGCCAGCAGCCTTCCTCCTGATGAATGGGACGTGTTCGGAGCTTGATGAGGGACTTGGGACAGGCTTGAGGAAAACACAGTCGGGCGGCCTATATAGGATCAACAGTCAAGACTTTCATGAGCTTGGCTCAAGGTCACTGCAGAACTTCAAGAACAAAATCAGCCCCTCAGAGCTCCACGGGACAAGCCTGGTCACCCAGAGAGCGGACCTAGATGGAGTTTCTGAGAAGGACACGGAAATGAGCTAAAGCAGGATGGGTGTGTGTAATCCATGTGGGTGTCTGTCCTGAGAAGGAGACAAATATGGACATGACTGACTTAAATGCAAGGCTCTCAAGGAACAGCCAGACTGGCCTGCATAAAGGACAAGATCCACATGCCCGAAGGAGTCAGGAGGGCTGCATGGAGGTGGTGGCATGGAACGTGGGTTTTGAAGGATGAGCAGGAAGTTGCGAATGGAAACCACTTCACCAGAAAGACTCTGGAGAGGAGGACAAAAGGGCCAAGTTCAAGAAAATGCTGGGGCCAGGGATGGGAGCAGGGCAATGGAGAAGATTTCTGGGGTCAGCCATGGAGGATGTGGTGGGCAGAGGAGGGAGGGATGTGGCAGAAGTCCTGCAGGGACAGGGGATCGTGTCCTGGAGCCTCACCCCTTCAGGACCTGTAGCTTCTCCCCCTTCAGCATCTGCAGGTCCCGGTCATTCACGGCGGCGTAGTCATAGAGGGCTACCGCGAAATGCTCGTCTGAAAGGATGGAGGGAGGGATGACCACCGCCCGGGCCCCAGAGAGGGAGGGCGGGGCTGGGGTAAGCCTATGATGGGAGCAACCTCTGGCTACCAAGAGGGATGGGCTTCTGCTTGCCCATGCTGGAGATGATGCTCTCATCCAGAATGGGCCCCCACCCCTGCCTGGGACCCCACCTGTGACCCCACCAGGACAGGCTGCCCCGAGAGCCCATCCTGTCCTCCTTTCTGGACCTACTAAGAAGCCCTGTGGCCTGGGCAGGGCGTCTTTGAGGGCGCTGATGGCCAGAGGTCAGCACAGGGAGGCAGCCACTACCAGGCTGGTGGCCTCAGGCCCACACCGGGAGCCAGTGCTGGCAGTCCCTCATCTTCTTATCCCACACCTGCTCTCAGAGGCCTGTGAGTGCCTCTTGTCCTTTTCCTCCTTTGCCTCCTCCCACCTCTATGCCCAAGAGGGGTGGTCTTGCCACGTGGCAGCTGGAGCCCTGGCCCCCCCACTGTCTGTTTCCGAGCCCTGCCACACTGCCTGTGGCTGCCAGTGCCCCATGGATCCCCTGACTTGCTGGTGGGCCCTGGATGGAAGGGGCAAGAGGGCTCAGGAGCTTGGAGCACCATTTTCAAATGAGTACCTCTGTGATGAGGGCTCTCTGCACAGCCCTGGGAGCCACAGGACCCACCTGGTGAAGGTCATCTGGAGAGCACTTAGCTTCCCCAGGTGAGGTGGCTCAGCTCTGTCACTGAGCTGAGGGGTATGACCTTGGACTGCTCACTTCTATTCAGCAGGAAAGAGGGGGTTGGAATAGGCGACAGCGGTTCCCTGAAGTTTTAAGATCCAAGTTCTGCTCAGAGTGTGACAGATTCTGAGCTTTCCCAGGGAAGGAGCTGTGTCTACCTCTTGTCACCCCTTCGCCATTCCTGGGACAGAGTCTCGCCCTGTGTGCTGAGTGGGCAGTGCACGTGGCGTGAGCAGGTTAATGGGTGCGACCCAGGCTGCGTGAGGCAGCCTTTCCCCATGCTGTGAGGACGTGGATGAGGAGGAGGCTGCGGGAGGTCACTGTGAACAAGGCAACCTCCTGGGAGTCCCGAGGGTGGAGCCTCTGGCCCAGGAAGGCCAAGCTTATTCCCTACGGTATCCAGCAGGCTGGCCCACCAGAGCAGAAGTGGAGTCTGGGGACTGGGCGCAGTGGCTCATGCCTGTAGTCCCAGCACTTTGGGAGGCTGAGATGGGCAGATCACCTGAGATCAGGAGTTTGAGACCAGTCTGACCAACATGGTGAAACCTTGCCTCAACTAAAAACATAACAATTAGCCGGGTATGGTTGTGTGTACCTGTAATCCCAGCTACTTGGGAGGCTGAGGCAGGACAATCACTTGATCCCAGAAGGTGGAGGCTGCAGTGAGCTGAGATCACATCACTGCACTCCAGCATGGGCGACAAGAGCAAGACTCTGTCTCAAAAAAGAAAAAAAATATAAAAAGGTGACGTCTGGGGATCAGGGAGGGGGCATGGGTGGTTAGGTGGTCAGCAGGGGACTGTCGAAGTGGCTGGGAGGGGGAACAAGAGGGCGCCCTCCACGGGGAGTGGACCAGGGCTGGAGGCAAGGGCCTAAGCCACTGCCCAGCCTCTGAGTTTGGGAGTTAGACTCTCTGCAAGCTTGGTGTGTGTCTTCTCTGGGACCCTTGTTTTTGTTCCTGTTTACAGTTTGTAAAGTCTTTCATTTTTTAAAAGTCCCATCCGGGCTCAGGCAAACTAAAGAAATTCATGCTTGGTTCCTGAAGACACCCCCAAGAGGCACGGAGCCTGGGCCCCGCTCAGCCTCCCCTCTGTCTCTTCTCCAGCCCTCAAGCTGCTCCCGACTATTTCCTGTTCCAACTCCACAAGGCTGAAACCTGGGGAGGGCGCCATGGAGACTCAGCTTCCCACAGCGCCCTTCTTACCTTCATCCAGGTGTTCCTCGGGTGGTGGAGGAGTAAGGTGGTTAAAGACAACCTTGGGTAGAGACCAGGCATGAGTTATTTCAGTCCCTGCCACAGGCGCGGGGCCTGGCAGGATGGATGAGGCTGCTGAGCAGGCAGCCAGGTTATCTCCGGGGACCCACTGTGGGAGGAGAGGCAGCCGCGGTGGGGGCTGCACAGGGAAATTCTGAACCCAGGGACCAGCACCACCCTCAGATAGACCCCCGCCCTCTGCTGCCTTCGCCGTGACCGTGTGGGGGACCCCCCAGGGTGGATAGGAGGTAGCTGTGGAGAACGAGGGGAAGTCCAATCACTTGGGCTTAACATTCTGGCTCTACCCCTAAAAGAGCAAACTGAAAATGGGTATTTGTGGACAAGAAAAAATATTTAAGAAGCATATTTCCCCAAAACTCAACAAACATATTCGTAGATGTATATCCTATAAAGAAACGTTTGAGTATGTGTACCAGGAATCGTGTACAAGAGTGCTCCTAGAAAAAATAACAACACAGAAACAATTTTGTTTCTCCTTTTTTTTTTTTGAGATGGAGTCTCACTCTGTTGCCCAGGCTGGAGTACAGTGGTGCAATGTTGGCTCACTGCAATCTCTGCCTCCTGGTGCATGTGGCGTGAGCAGGTTAATGGGTGCGACCCAGGCTGGCTGAGCCAGCCTTTCCCCATGCTGTGTAGGCATGGAGGATGAGGAGGCTGCAGGAGGTCAAAAAGAATTTCAAGAAATTCTCATGCCTCAGCTTCCCGAGTAGCTGGGATTACAGGTGCCCACCACCATGCCCAACTAATTTTTGTATTTTTAGCAGAGATGGGGTTTCACCATGTTGGCCAGGTTGATCTTGAACTCCTGGCCTCAAGTGATCTGCCCTCTTTGGCCTCCCAAAGTGCTGGGATTACAGGCATGAGCCATCATGCCTGGCCAGTAGATAAACAATTTTAAAATGTGGAACTAACCCTCATGACAAAGAATAAACAAATCACAGTATACTCATGCAATAAAATTAATGAGCTCTAGCCACGTGCATCCATGTTGGTATATCTTACATGCATAACACGGAGCCGAAACACCAGTCTCAGAAGCATATGTGATGTTGGATGTAGCTGATTTAAAACTTACAAAATGAAAAATGAAACTAATTATTGTTTAGGGATATATATATATGTGATAATATTAAAAAGCAAAGCCTGGCTAATTTTTGTATTTTTTAGTAGAGATGGGGGGTTTCACCATGTGGGCCAGGCTGGTCTTGAACTCCTGACCTCAGGTGATCCACCAGCCTCGGCCTCCCAAAGTGCCGGGATTACAGGTGTGAGCTACTGCGCCCGGCCCAATATATTTTTTTTAATTCCATATTTATTGAACACAGTTTTGAAGTAGCATTCTGCAAATGCTACGTATGTATGTTTCTATTAAAAATATGAACCCATGAATTAAAGAACACACAGAAGAAGGGCCTTGAGGCAGGAGCTCTGAAGAGCTAGCCCTGGTGACTCCACATAGTGGAATTAAGAGTAATTATAGTTTCTTCCATAATTAATATGTATCATGTGACTTTTTTTTTTTTTTTTTTGAGACGGAGGTTCGCTCTTGTTACCCAGGCTGGAGTGCAATGGCACGATCTCGGCTCACCGCAACCTCCGCCTCCTGGGTTCAGGCAATTCTCCTGCCTCAGCCTCCTGAGTCTCTGGGATTACAGGCACGCGCCACCATGCCCAGCTAATTTTTTGTATTTTTAGTAGAGACAGGGTTTCATCATGTTGACCAGGATAGTCTCGATCTCTTGACCTTGTGATCCACCCGCCTCGGCCTCCCAAAGTGCTGAGATTACAGGCTTGAGCCACCGCGCCCGGCCTCATGTGACTTTTTTAAGTTAAAAAAACTCCAGGTGCTATTACTTATTATCATAAAACTTTGGGGAATTACTCAATCAGTCTAAGTTCAACTTTCCCCATTTGATCAATTATTTATTCAACAAACATCTTACGGTTGTGTGCTGAGCCTGGCATGAAACTGGGACACTGACAGATAAGAGAGCTGGGTTCATCTAGGAAGTGGGATTAGTAATCCCTGTCTCCCCATCAGGCTCCTGCTAAGATAAAGAGGTGACCATGTGGGCATGAGGACAGCGCAGGGGAGAGGGTCCAGCCATGGCTCCCGACTGCCCCAAACCAAAAGGAGGTCACTGGTCAAGGAGTGGGAGGCACACAGAGTCGTCTAAAACGCGCCTTCAGGTCAGGTGCAGTTGCTCACGCCTGTAATCCCAGCACATTGAGAGACCGAGGAGTGCAGACCACCTGAGGTCAGGAGTTCGAGACCAGCCTGGCCAACGTGGTGAAAGTCCATTTCTACTAAAAATACAAAAATTAGCTGGGCATGGTGGCATGTGCCTGTAATTCTAGCTACTCAGGAGGCTGAGCCATGAGAGAGAATCACTTCAACCTGGGAGGCGGAGGTTGCAGTGAGCCAAGGTTGCACCACTGTACTCCAGCCTGGGTGACAGAGCAAGACTGTCTCAAAAAAAAAAAAAAATGCATCTTCAGACATGCAGTAGCCATCAAAGGGCACTAGCAGCTTTACAAAGAAACCAAACTGCACGACTAGGAAGATGCATTCCCCAGCAATAAGACTTTTCACTTGAAATTTCACTTGTTTTTCCTTTGGAAAGTTTTTCTCATTTAAAGTGCCCATGGCATTCCAGTAAAACCTGAGAGCCTGCTTGGGAGGTGAGGACAGGCACCCTCCTGTTTCATGATGCTTATCTCAGGAGAGCAGGTGCTTTGCAATGCCAACGGCAATGCCACGTAGGAGCCAAGGGTCTCCAAGAGCTGCTGGAAAGAAGAGAAGGAGTGGCTGCAGCTAGATACCCGCATGCTCCCTTACGACACCCTCTCCCCAAGCTGACATTTTTAATTCTCTTCCAAGCTGCCCTTGAGGAATGAGCTCTGGCTAAGAATTATTGGGCGCTAACCAGGCCGGGTCCTGTGTATGTTGTATTGCATGGCTCACCTGCTTTCACAGTGCAGATCGTTACATCCCTATTAGGAAGGCACTTTTGCTATACCCATTTTACAGATGTGGACATTAAGGCATAGGAGAAGTAAGTAACCTGCTCTTGGCTGGGGGTGGGGGATCACTCACCAGGGGTGGCAGTGGTGGGGGGGCCTTGTCCTGGGCTCTGGCCTTCAGGGGGCTCCATCGGCCCTTGTCATTCTCCTTGACCTGCCTTTTGCTGCTCACCATCCCCATCCTGTTCGAGGCACACAGCAGACGGAGGATATGAGAGGGCAGGGCCTCAGATCCTCTGCACAGAGGGACTCCCCAGCCCCTTCCGGGAGGCTGACTAGAAAGGTGGGGTGGAAGTGGGAAAGCAAAGACCTCACAGTCAGAACGTGGGTACGAGTAGGGGGTGAGGTGTATACCCATCTTTTTTCAGGGGTCCATAGAGCAGAAAGCACGGCATTTAGCACACAGAAATCATCTGGCTGGAGATAACCACCAGAGACCACTGGGGTGTATCCCGGTCCTCAGGGGACGGGAGCCTGAGCAGGAGGCCATGCGGTATTCTAGAAAGAGCCTATCGACGTGTCTGGGCTCTCTGGGTTTAGTTTTCACATTGTCACGGGCCTTGTCACTTGGGAAAGTGACATTTTCTCTCTGGGCCCATTAGCTCTTTGGTAAACAGCAGGGGCTTTGTTAGAGCATGACCAAGCCTCTCTTGCACTCAGATTTGTGGGGGACACACTACATACATTTACGACAGACTGACAGCACAGACATCGGGGCCCAGCTGCCACTTCACAGTAACATCGGGGGGTCTCCTTAAAGGGAGGAAGTTGTGGTCAGGTTTTTCCCTTCAGTAAAGAATCTTAGGATGGCAGATGCAGGAAAGACCCTTTTGACGCCACCAACACCACCATGTTGTCACCATCCTCATTCCAGGGGTGCTACTTATATATTAAGGAGCTTGCTCAGAGTCACACAACTGGCCGGTGCAGAGCTAGCTGGAGTTGTCTGTTCTGAGACCCCTGTACTCCCGCTGACAGCCTCTTTCCAGAGACGCAGACATCACAGAGAGGAAGCACCCAAGTCCCCACACTTGTCGGAAGGCCGTGCTGTTAGTGGTGATTTCCTTTGGATGTACGCACCATATTTCATCAATTCTAAGATGGACCATTTTCACATTTCATTGTCTCTGAACTGGGAGGCCTCTTACAATGGAGGATGCTTTGCAACATAATTAGTAGCAGCATATTTTTTCTATTTTAATGATAAATTAAATGCTAGCCTTCCTATCAGGGGTGACTTGGATTAAATGAAACACAGTCATGTATTTCTCCCAGAGAGTTGAAAGCACCTTCCTCATGTCATTTCTCCTCAAACCCACTTTGAAAAAGAAAATACTGTAATAATTTTTGATATAGGACGGAAAACCACAGAAGCAAAAACTTCACAAGTGTGTTTTGTAAAGTATGTTTTGCATACAGAACACATAATACTTTACAGTTTTAAGGAATGACACTTTTTACGTAGAAGAATTTCTTTATGTAAGCTCAGATCAGCTTTATGTAAGCTCAGATCACCACCAAGTAAATTATAGTGCCAGGGTTACAAGTATCATTTCGGTTCAGTGATTTAGGGTTTCAGAAGCTTGAATAAGAGATTATGGCTGGGCACAGTGGCTCAGGCCTGTAATCCCAGAACTTTGGGAGGCTGAGGTGGGCAGATCCTTGAGGTCAGGAGTTCGAGACCAGCCTGGCTAACATGGTAAAACCTCATCTCTAGTAAAAATACAAAAGTGGTGGTGTAGGCCTGCAATCCCAGCTACTTGGGATTAGAGGTTATGGGTTTGGCAGGGCACAGTGACTCATGCCTGTAATTCCAGCACTTTGGGAAGCTGAGATGGGCAGATCACTTGAGGTCAGGAGTTGAGACCAGCCTTGCTAACACAGTGAAATCCTGTCTCTAGTAAAAATACAAAAACTGGTGGTACAGGCTTGTAATCCCAGCTAATTGGGAGGCTGAGGCAAGAGAATCACTTGAACGCAGGAAGTGGAGGTTGTAGTGAGCTGAGATTATGCCATTGCGCTCCAGCCTGGGCAACAGAGTGAGACTCCATCTTAAAAAAAAAAAAAAAAAAAAGGAGAGAGAGAGATTCTGGGTTTGTAGTTTGTATTGGGAATGGCTACTGAATTTTACCAGGTGACCATTCAGTATCTATCAATATGATACATTTTCACCTTTAATTTGTCAATGTAATAAATTATGTTGGTAAATTTTCTGTTATTGAAACATCCTTGCATTCCTGGAATAAAAGCTATTTGATTACAGCATATTAGTCTATTCAGCACATGGATGGATTCTTATTTGCTAATTGTTTTGTTTTATTTTATTTGTTTTGAGACAGTGTCTCACTCTGTTACCTAGGCTAGAGTGCAATGGCCTAATCTTGTCTCACTGCAACCTCTGCCTCCCAGTCTAAGGTGATTCTCCCATCTAAGCCTCCCAAGTAGCCAGGATGACAGGCATGTGCTACCATGCCCTACTAATTTTTTGTTATTATTATTTTTTGGTAGAGACAGGGTTTTGCCATGTCACACAGGCTGGTCTCAAACTCCAGAGCTCAAGCTACCCACCCACCTCAGACTCCCAAAGTGCTGAAATTACAGGTGTGAGCCATCATGCTTGGCCCTATTTGTTAATATTGTATTTAGAATCAGAATCTGTATTCCCAAGGGAGATTTGCCTATGAGATATTAGCATTAAGCTGCACTGGCTTTGTAAGGAGTATTGAGGAGCTCTCTCTTTGTTGTCTTACGGTCTTGCGTGGTTTCATAACATTGGGGTTATCTGTTCTTCACAGGCTAAATGGAACTCAGCTGTGAAGCCATCTGTGTCTGGGGCCCTTTCAAATAATAAACCTTTAAAGACATTTCCAATTTCTTCTATAGGAATGATCTATTCTTATTTTTCTCCTCCTTGTGCCATTTTGATGATTTATAGGACATCTTTAATTTCATCTACATTTTCTAATTTGTTGCCATAAAGTTTTATGTAGTATTGTCTGTAATTATTATACTCTGTTCTCTTTTTTTATTGTGATTTTTTCTTCTTCTTAATATAAGTTGGATGTTATTTTAATTAAAATTATAATTCACAATTGGATAAAATCATCTGAAGCTCTACATGACTAAATTAAGTTTTAAACTAGCTTTATAATTATGAAATAGAAGATTGTGGTCAAAGCAGCATGAAATTGGAATAAGGAAAGTAGACAACAATCATCAGAGAAGAATAAAAAACATACAGATTTTGGTGGATACAGGAACTGTATATGTGAAAAAGATTGCATTTTAATTCAATAGAAAATTGATAGTTTATTTTAATAAATGGTATTGGAAAAATGGCTATTTACCTTAAGGAAAATACAATCGATCCCCGACCTCACACCATATTAAAAATAAATTCTAGGTGTACTGATGAAAAAAATAAAAAATTAAAAATTAAAATGTAATTAAAAGAAATGTAAGAAACTGTGTATATAACCCAGAGTTTGGAAACAACTATTAGCAAAGATAGAATAGCCAGAAGCTAAGAGAGAACAAAAAATGTACAAATTCATAAACATTAAAAGTATTAGATGGTATAGGAAACTACTCATGAAGTCTGTAGATAAGCAATAGATTGGGTAAGAGATTGCAAAGCATCAGATAAATGTCTATTCAGAATAAATACGAAGCTCATAAAATATGGACAGGAAGCATATTGTAGCATATAATCCATTCAACAGAAAAATGTGTAAAGATAAGAAATAAGAAGTTAGTGCAACACACATCCAAATAGTAAAGTGTTTACTATAATTATTGTTTCATTTGTTCCTTCCTACTCCATTTCTAGGATTAATCTTCTGAGGGCTGGAATCTTTGTTTTATTCATTGTTGAATCCAAGTTGCTAAACCAATGTCTGACACAGAGCGTGGGCTTAATAAATGTTTATCAGACAAAACATGAAATACTATTGGAAGATGCAGTCTTTTAATTTCTTTTAGAAGTCGATCTTTTAAATACTGTTAAAATAAAAAGGCACACATAGCTTTTGATTTTCAGTCCCACTCTGGACTGTCTCAGATTAACAAAGCATCATTATATAGACATATATGAGGGATGAAAATGTTTGTTGTAGCAATAGTTGGAGCAACAATCCCCCCCACCCCAAAAATCCCACATTAAAAAAACGACGATGTAACTGCTCAGCAATTAAAGAATTGTTGAATACATTTACACTCTACAAATCTCTCAAATATTATACAACTACCAAAAAAAAAAATGTGCTGGAACTTCACCAGTGATGTCAAGAGTAATTTGTATACCATGTTGTGCCATGAGAAAAGCAAGAGCCAAAGAGGTACCGAGGGAATCCCATATCTGCAAACACCGAATAAAAAGAAAAGAACCCCTATTCAGGTGTGTGCATGTGTTTGCATATTACATAGAGAGAGGCTGGGGAGGATGAACATCGAGTTGTTTACTGTGGTTATTGCTAGAGGAGGGAGAGATACAAAACAGAGGTGTAAGGAAAAAAAAAAGCAGACTTAAAAAACTGTGTTTGCTAATGCAAAGCAGGGCCTTTAAAACATATTTTCTAAACGGTGAATACTGTTTTATTTTGGATGACAGGGCTTCATGTGACTTTAACTTTCTTTCTTGTAGTTGTATATTTTTTTGAATTCTTTAATACTAAGCATATATTACTGATGCAAGCAGAAAAATTAAAGGAGGATGTGAGTGATCTGCCTGGCAACAGAGGGGCATGAGGCCTGGAGCCTGCAGATCTTAACAATGACCACTAAGTGGCCAGCCAGGGCTGCCTGAGCCTCAGGCCTTTCCTGGCCTCTCTCAGCCTCCCTGGCTCAACGAAGGGCCAGTGGTCAGCAGCTCCTAGTGCATTCCCCAGACTGGGACTCATACTTCCATATCTGCCTGGGTAACTGGCCTTCTTGCCTTCCTTAGTCCTGCCAGCCATATTGCCATTGACTTTAAGCTTCCTGGCAAAAACCTGTGTCCACTGAAACAACATAATTGAACACTGATTGTTCAATTTATTGAACAAAGAACTGGACAGAAAGTAAAATTCCTAAAATTAAATGACCCCCTACTTACACTTCTATGTCCTTCGACTCCTTAGCAGTGTGTGTGCAAGTGATTTTGCATGGCTCTCATGAGTACCTGGGGTCTCTCTGGGTCCCCCTACTCCACTGGCTCTGACTGGAGACCTGGGTTACTCAGGAGCCCATGTGACAACCAGGGCTGTCACTGGTGCTCTGGCTGCACCCAGCAGTTTCA